TCTGCAGAAGTTTTGTTGATAGCTTTAAAAGCTTTTTATCTGTTTGGCTAAGTCTACAGACTTTGCACACCTGGATAAAGGCAGGTTATTCCATTTTTCCAGGCAAATCCTTTCAGGCTTTATCAGATTGGATAACTGCCATCTCTAGCTCTCTCTACCAGTGTCATGAGCGTCACATCTGGGTTCTGGCTCAGCCACTCAAGGACAGTCAGTGGACTGAAGCCACTCTGGCTTTCCCATCTGTGAAGATTACGTCTGAAACTGTTGACCATTGGGCGCTCGGTCACGACCTGGATGAAGGCCCTTCTTGCTGGGCTTCTCTGTTTGGCTGTGGGGCGAACTCCAGGAAGAATCTTAGAGTTTCTACAATTTTTCTATTTCACAAGCGACAGCTCGAGAAACAGTTCTACACTTTTGTCACTATTTAAGCCTCGCCACAATTTTATCTAAAAACTATAGAGTTCTTTGAATCCACTGGCTTGGTTTTTAATCCTGACATGGAGTGAACTGTGGGACCTTTTACTGTTTATGCTTCTGTATAAGGGTTAGAGTGAAGAATGATGGAGGAAAAATACAGCAATTCAAAGTTAAATTACAATGAAATAATTTGAAAAAAGTGAAAACATCTGAAGACTTTGAGTCCAGTTTGAACAATTTGCATCACGGCTACAACGCAAATTAGGTTCAGACCCAGTAAACAGTGAAGCTGAAGCTCACCGTTTGATATTTTTTGTGTGATATAGTTTTTAAATCCATGATTATTTGCTAGAAATTAAGAGCTGGTTCTTAAATGGCAGCTTAACCTGAGCTTGAGGTAAATTTAGGATGCGTTATTCCCCTCTATCATTTTCTAGTTTAACAAGGTGACCAAACTAATGATGCATTCAAAGAGCCACCGTGAAAAAGAAACCAGACAGAAACCAAGAAGATTTTCTGATTATTCTTTAATTTTGTGGTATTTTTGGCTGAAAGCTTAACTTTGCAGTTCTAACTCAAGGGGTATGTCCGCACTGATTAATACCAAACCCTGACTCGTGTGTATCACAGTAAATATAATGTCATTTACATGTTTGTGACTTCCAGTGTGGAGCAGAATATATTCTGACAGTTTACATTTATAATTTCAGCAGTTATGAAGATGTATTAGCCAAAAATAATAATGTGCAACTAATTAAAAAAAAAAAAAAAAATCACAAAGATGCATGCAACAGTAACAATATGGAGTCACTATGAACTTAAAAAGTGCTTGAGGTGAACCTGAATATCTCACAAGTATGACAACAGCTAAGGCAGTCTGGCAGTCCTAGTGCGCAGCAACAAGTATTAATGTCTGTATAGGGTTTGTGTGAGCTGAGCTTTTTCATTTTAATTTATA